CGCACCGAGCGGGACGGGGCGGGGGGGACGGTGGAGGGGGGGGCCGGCATCCCTGGCGGGCACCATCGCAGCCCCGGCGCCGGGCATCTACGGGGGCACCGGGAGAGGGACACCCCGGTGGCAGCGGGCGAGGGACACCCTGGGGCACGGCGCTAGGGGTACCCCGGAGGCACTAGGCGAGAGACATCCCGGGGCAACCCTCTAGGGGTACCCCAGGGGCACCGGGCAAGGGACACCCTGGGGAACTGTGAGAGGGACACCCCTGGGACACTGCAGTAGGGGTACCCCGGTGGCACTATGCTAGGGATACCCTGGTGGCAACTGGGCGAGGGACACCTTTGTTCGAGGGACACCCTGGCGCACGGTGGGAAGGACACCCTGGGGCACTGCAGTAGGGGTACCCCGGTGGCACTATGTCAGGAGCACTCTGGTGGCACTGGACAAAAGACACCCCAGTGGCACTGCCTAGGGACACCCCAGTGACACCACATTAGGGATACCCTGGTGGCACTGGACAAAAGACACCCCAGTGGCACTGCCTAGGGACACCCCAGTGACACCACATTAGGGATACCCTGGTGGCACTGGACAAAAGACACCCCAGTGGCACTGCCTAGGGACACCCCAGTGACACCACATTAGGGATACCCTGGTGGCACTGGACAAAAGACACCCCAGTGGCACTGTGCTAGGTGTGCCCTGGGGCACTCAACTAGGGACGTCCCAGTGGCACTGGGTAAGGAACATCCCAGGCCAATGGACAAGGGGTACCCTGGGGTCGCTGTGCTACGGGCACCCCAGGGCACTGCATTAGGGACACCTTGGTGGCACTGGGCAAGGGACACCCCAGTGGCACTATGCTAGAAGTACCCCTGGTGGCACTGGACCAGGGACATGCCAGTGACACTGTGCTAGGGGTACCCTGGTGGCACTGCGCTAAGGACACCCCACAGGATTTTACTGGGGACACCCTGGTGGCATTGTGCTAGAGAGACGCCAGGGGTATTGCACTAGGGGCAACCCAGTGGCACTGTGCTAGGGGCACCCTGGAGCACCGTGGTAGGGGCATTTCTGGTGGCACATCCCCAGTGGTGCTGGGCTGGAGGGGACCTCCTGTGGCCCCTCACCACTGTGGGGAACACGCCGTCTCTGGCCCTGCGCTTGGGGACTGCATGGGCTGGCAGCGTGCCATTCCTGTGCCCCAGGGACACCACCGGCCATCCACCCACAGGGCTTGAGAACTGCCTCTGCTCTGGCCAGAGCTGTCCTCGCGCTAGAGGACATTGCACGGCTGGCACTGCCCCAGGCACACCCTGTGCCCTGTCACTGCAGCCTGAGGGACCCTGTTTGCTGACACTGGGTTGGGGGCAACTCAGGGGCTAGCACAGCACTTGGGGTCACCCATGGGCTGGCACTGAAGTCTTGGGGACACTTTCAGGCTGTGATTGCACTCAGGGGTGCCCATGGGCTGTGCTTGCAGCTGGGGACACCCATAAGCTGTGATTGCAATTGAGGACATCATGGGCTGGCACTGCAGATACCCACAGGCTGCCATTGCACTCAGGGACACCCATGGGCTGTGACTGCAGTTGAGGACACCCATGGGCTGTGATTGCACTTGGGGACACCATGGGCTGGCACTGCCCATGTGGGGAAAATCCCCCAGGAGAGGGGCGAGTGGAGCCCCTGACCGCTCCGTCCAGCTCCTGCGTCACAGTGGGGCAGGAGGGACTCGGATCCGTGCAGAATCCCTGGCACCCCCCTCCCCGCCGCCTTCCACCCTGGTCCCATTGTCCCCAGCACCCACAGGGACACCTGGCCTGCGCACAGCCCATAGGGTGGCATTTCAGGGTGACACAGGGTGCGTGGGCAGCCCGCTGCCCCTCTCCCTCTTTCTGCTCTAAATAAACTGTATTCCACAGGCAAAAAAATGCAAACCCTTCAGATCCCGGCTCCTCCAAAAATAACCCGCGCTTTAATAACGCTCGTAAATGCTTCTGGCGCATTCCCAGCTGCAGGGTGGGCTCTGGGCTGGGGGGGCTGGAAGGAGCCCGTGGAGGGGCTGCAGGAGCCGTGCGGCACGTGGGGAGGCTGGGATGGGACGGGAACAGGAGGGGTACACGGGGTCTCCCAGCCCATCACCCCAGGGACACATCCAGCCCTTGCCTGCCACAACTTTTTGGCACCGGTGCTCCAAGAAGAGGGGAGCAAAAAGTTTTTGAGAGCTGGAGAAAGTGGCTTTCTAGGAGCCCTCAGCCTTTGGTTATGGGAGGCATAGGAGGGATGGGAGCAGCCAAGGACCAAGGGGCTGCTGGCTGCTGGCGTCATCGGGAGAGCAGCAGAAGAGCCGCTGCTGGACTCTAGAGAGCAGCTATTAATACTGACGAATTAGGCACATATTTGGACAAGGAGAATTAGTAACCACCAGCACGCGGCTTCTGAAGGGAGGGGGAAGATCTGTCTCCCGTCATTCCCGGGTGAGGTTTTCTGTGAGATGTTTCAGACTGGAGCAACTTCATTGGAGCCAGACTCTTCTCGGTGGTTCCCAGTGACAGGACGAGGGGCAATGGGCACAAGTTGGAACATAGGAAGTTCCGTTCCAGCACACGGAAAAACTTCTTTACAGTTCGGGTGACAGAGCACTGGCACAGGCTGCCCAGGGGGGTTGTGGAGTCCCCTTCTCTGGAGATTTTCAAGACCCGCCTGGATGCAGTCCTGAGTAATGTGCTCCAGGCAATCCTGCTTTAGGAGCGGAGTTGGACTAGATGATCTCTAGAGGTCCCTTCGAACTCTGAAAATTCTGTGATTCTGTGATATGGGCTCAGCATATGTGGCAAAGATGATGATGTACATGGTGTGAGCAGCCCGGCAGTTGCCCTGGAGCTAGGCAGGGCTTCAGCCCTCGGATGTCCCCCAAAGGATGCAGATTTCTCTTGGTGCCCGCTCCCCTTTGCTCCAGGCATCACGGCCACGTCTGAGCAGCACAGCTGGGGCCATCCAGGTGCCCAGGCCACAAGTCCTCCCTCGAGGCCATCCTCTGGGGTGACCTCTGGCACAAGGGGGTGCAGAGGGGTGTGGGTGCGCATCCCTCCCATTGCTGTCCCATGCCCAGCCCCACCCTGGGCTAAGGTCCCCAAGGATGGGGACCCTGTTCCATGCCCCCTTCCAGGGTCTGGCTGCACTCCTGGGGAAAGGCTTGTCCCACTGTCTAGCTCCAAACCCCGACATGTGGTCCCCCAAACCTGCCTGCCAAAGTAACCCCTCACTCCAGCAGACAAGATTTAGGGGGCCGGGGCAAATTGCATGCCATGTCCCTCCCCTGGTGTTGGTGCTACCACCCCTTGCCTGGTCCCCAGCCTGGGGACATGGCAGTGGATGTGCTCACAGCCCTGTGCTGGGGGTGCTGGAGCTCCCTTGGCCCCAGGATGTCAGGATGAAGCCGGGGCCGCTGCCACACTGTGCCCACTCACTCTCCTTGCTGGCCACTCCGAGGGG